TTTGCCAGCATTGAATAATGTTGTTCATGGTTTCACTGTTTACATACTACTATAGCCCTCCTATCTGTCTTTCTGCTTCTCTTCACTTTGAATATTTATACTCCCTTCCCTGGCTGTTAAGCGACTTTTTACTAGGTTCCTTCATAACTGCACAGAATTTTTTTAGATGATATATTTTCCAAGTGTTTTTTTAATGAGGTGATTTCCCAAATTGTATTTATCAGTCTGGTCCTCTTCTTTTTTCTGATATACACACAATCCCATATACATACATATACATTATGTATATGACTTTACTGTAAATCCCAAAATCCGATGATATGAATTTATTAAAGGATATGTTAAAGGTTATGAATTAACAGCCAGTTAAAGAGATACACAGGGCAAGGAGTTTCCATGTCCTCTCCTGGTATGCCATTTACCCATATGTTCACCAACTTGGAGACTCTCTGAAACCCATTGTCCTTTTGGGTTTTTATAGAGGCTTCATTATGTCATCATGATTGACTAAGTCTTTGGCCATTGGTTGATTCAGCTCCAGCTCCTTTCTCCTTCCCAGAGGTCAGGGGGTGGGACTGAAATTTACCATCCTTTAATAGTTGGTCCTCCTGGCAACTAGTTCCTGACTTTAAGTTACCTTCATTAATAAGACACCCATTTCACCTTTTACGGCTCTGAAGCATTTTCAGGAACTGTAGATGAAGACCAAATATATCTGGGAAATATATTTTGGTCATCTGAACCATGAAATATATGTTGTAAATCATTTTATCACAGAAATACAAGGGATTGTTTATTGATTTGGGGTCCTGCATATTGTTAAATTCAGGTATTAGTTCTAGTAGAGTTTTGGAAATTCCTTAGGATTTACTTTGTAAGCAATATGGCTCCTCAATAAAATCAATCTATATACATTTTATCTATTTTTCTTGTTTTCTTGTACTGGCTAAGACATCCAGTTTAATGTTGAGTAGAAGCACTGAGAAAAGACTTCATTGTTTTATTCTCAGTCTTAAAGGGAAGTGTTCATATTTTCCCATTAGGTAGGATGATAGCTGAAGGCTTTTTTATAGATGCCTTTTACCAGGTGGATAAAGTTTCCTCATCTTACTAGTTTACTAATTTACTGAAATTTTTATCATGAAAAGGTGTTGAATTTTTCAAATGCATTTCCTTTATTTATTGAGATGGTCATATTTTTGTCTCTTATTCTGTTAATATAAATTGCATTGATTAATTTTTGAATGTTAAATCAACACTGCATTGCTGAATAAATCTAATTGATTTGTTTAGTGAATTTTATTATCCTTTTTGTATATTGGTAAGTATGATTTGATAGCATATTTTAAGGAATTATTCATCTCTATTCATGAGAGATATTTAATCAATTGTTCTCTTTTGTTGCCATGTCTTTGATTATTAGGGTATCTGTAGTGTTATAAAATTATTTGGAAAGTATTATTGTTTCTTTGAATTTCAGAAAAAGTCTACATAAGATCTATATTATTTATTTTTTACCATTTGATTGAATTCATTAATGAGCCTATCTGGACCTGGAGTTTTTGTTTGGAATCATAGTGCCAATTTTGGTAATCTTTTGTTTTTCAAGGTTATTTATCCATCTCACTTAAGTTTGCAAATTTATTCATTATTCATAATATCCTCTATTCTTTTTTTAATGTATGCAGCATGTTTCCTTTTTCTTATAAATTAATCCTAGTCACAAATACGGCTTAAGAAAGGGCAGGTTTCAAGGTCCATCATTTACATGATATTTCCAATTCATAATTGTGGTAATAACTCTTCCAAGATGTATTTTCATATCAAAGATGACTTTAAAGTTTATTTACAATAGTGGAATAAAAGTGGACTGTGTGTGTGTGTGTGCATGCGTGTACGCATATGCACACACATGCTTTACACAGCTGGATTGTTGAGCCCTTCCTGAGATGGCAGGGGAAGACCTTCCTACATGGACAGCCTCCCAGGCTGGATTTCTCAATGCCCTTTTGTATGATTATTATTTCATCTAACTAGGCACATATTTAAAAATTTACTGTCTTCCATAACCCATTGCGTTGAAGTTTATAAATGGAAGCCTTATATCAGAATGGGAAAAGATGAGCTTCGCAGTTAGACAGACCTTAGTGCCAATTCTGACTTGTTAGATATAGACATGGATATTTTATTTAACCTTTCTCAATGTCAATAATAGAATTTCTAAAGTTTAAATGATCTCTGAGAGATCATTTAGAAAACAGCTCAAGATCATGTAGCAGACATTTATAGGGTTACTCATGCTACAGTTTTTCTGGAACTTTCCAACATCCATTGTGGTTTCTCCTCAGTTATTTTATAAATGACTATTTAAAAAGAGACTCAGAGGAGGAAGGATCCTCAGTGTCCTCCCCACCCCAATCAGTAATATATATAAGAAAATTTATAGGACCACCACTTATGTGAAAAGTTCAGGCTACATAAAAGAACATAGAGAGGGGCACCTGGGTGGCTCAGATGGTTAAGTGTCTGTCTTCGGCTCAGGTCATGATCCCAGGGTCCTGGAATCGAGCCCCACATCGGGCTCCTGGCTCAGCGGGGAGCCTGCTTCTCCCTCTCCCTCTGCCTCTCTCCCTGCTCATGCTCTCTCTATCCCTCTCTGTATCTCTGTGTCTCAAGTGAATAAATAAAATCTTAAAAAAAAAAAACAGAGCCAGAAGACAGTTTATCAAACGTTTGTCTATGTAAGGGCAGGTTTTCATTAACTTCATTTGTTTCTTTTTGAAAGAGAATAGTTATGGCTAAAAGGAGCTCCATATTAATTTGTGTAGAAATCAAAGTAAAATTCTGCTTGCAAAGATTATCTTAAACACACCTGGGTCTTGTGATGTATAAAGCACAGAGTCCGTCCAACGTGCATTCTGAGAGAGCACAGGAACACATGGGTCTGTCCTGGCTAGCAGCACAGAGATAAAAACAATTGAATAATCTTAACAGAACATAGAAGACCACGGAGTCTTACTTAGAACCAACAAACGGCTATGGTGTGCTTGTTGGCACATTTTCCTCTTAAAAAATTATGCGTGCTGAATTTTACTGTTTTGCTCACTAAACTCTATCAATCTTCATGAGCTTATAATTAAGAAAATATTACACTTGGAAGGACTCCCTGCTATTATCAAATAACTTTGAAAAAAAAATGGAAAAGTACAAGTTGTATAACTGTTGTTACAAATTCCAGCTATTTGAAATGTTAATGTAATACCACAAGGGATTCTCACTGTTTGTATGCATTTTATTTTTTTAATTTGTTTTAAAGATTTTATTTATTTATTTGAGAGAGAGAAAGAGTAAGAGAATGTGAGCACGAGTGGGGAGACGGGCAGAGGGAGAGGGAGAAGCAGACTCACCACTAAGTAGGGAGCCTGGTGCAGGGGGGTTGGGGGGGGCGGGCTTGATCCCAGGACTCAGAGATCAGGACCTGAGCAGAAGGCAGAGGCTTAACTCATGGAGCCACACTGGGCGCCCCTGTTTGTATGCATTTTTAAGGGCCAGACTGGATCACAAAATGGGTTTCAAGTAATTTCATAACAGTAAATAGTAAGCAACAGAGAATATTTTATTTATTTTTTTATTCTCTTCACTCAAGGTTTCTTTTTCTTTTCTTTTTTAAGATTTTTATTTATTAGAGAGAGAGACAGAGAGAGAGGGAACACAAGCGGGGGAGTGGGAGAGGGAGAAGCAGGCTTCCCACTGAGCAGGGAGGCCAATGCGGGGCTCCATCCCAGGACTCTGGGATCGTGAACTGAGCCGAAGGCAGACACTTAACCGATTGAGCCACCCAGGTGCCCCTTCACTCGAAGTTTCCGTTGGCCAAACCTGAGAAACAAAATCTAATAAGAAGCCCTAGGTAGTTAAGTCTTATCTGTCCCTCTGGCAGCAGATGGCAGTATTGATGCATGAAAAAAATGCTTTCAAGTTACTTTTGCGATTACCTGTTACCTTTTCCCTCTCTTTATACTGAGGTATCTGAGCTGAACAAGAATTCCTAATCAGATAATATGGTTGTTGTCCTTTTACATCTCTTCTTTGCCAGTTTTTATTTCTCTCTCCTTTTAATTAAGAACTGGCTTTGATTGTTAATTTGCTTGTTTTGTTTTGTTTTTAAGAGCAGTTTTAAGTTCACAGCAAGATTGAATGGAAGATACAGAGGTTTCCCAAATGCCCCCTACCTCCACTCATGAAGTGCCTCCCCATTATCCATATCCCTCACCAAAGTGATACATTTGTTACAACTGATGAACCTACACTGACATGGAATCATCCAAAGTCCATAGTTTACCTAACGGTTCACCCTTAATGTTGTACATTCGTGGATTTGGACAACATATCCAAAATTCATCATATAATGTTTAATGATATGTATCCATCATTACAGTACCATACAGAGTATTTTCATTGCCCCAAGAACCCTCTGTGCTCTGCCCACTAGCCCCCCAACACACCCCCCTCCACTCCCAGGCAACCACTGCCTTTCTACTGTCTCTCTGACTTTACCTTTTCTAAGATGTCATGTAGTTGTAGACTTTATGGTATGTAGCCTTTTCAGATTGGCTTCTTTTACTTAGTAATATGCATTTAAGTTTCCTATCATTTTTCATGGCTTCATATCTCATTTCTCTTTGGCACTGAATAATATTCCATTGTCTGGATATACAACTTCTCTGTTTATAAAGAGGTATCTTTCCCATTTGTAGCTCTCTTTAGACCTTGACAAAAATGGGATGTTTCAAGTTGTTTTCCACCCAAACTCCTATCTGATACTCAACTGTATTACTCAAGAACATATTCAACTCAGCAAACATTCTGGGGGAACAGGCTCTTAAGCCTGTACCTCTGGATAGAGGCATCCAAAACACTCTCCTTCCTGTATCTTCTAGTTACTTCTCCAAAGTGGAACTTCCCTGAGTCAGGTGGCAATAAAGAGTCTCTGCTCCTTTTAGATCCCTGGAACATCATCTGTAGTTCAGAGAAAATGGAAGCCCCTGCAGCCTGCTTCACAGCCTCGAGGGCCAGGACAGCAGACCAAGTCCAGGATTAGTGCTGTGGCCGCTGAAATAAAGCAGATCCGAGCCAGACGGAAAACAGCCCGGATGCTAATGGTTGTGCTTTTGGTGTTTGCAATTTGCTATCTACCAATTAGCATCCTCAACGTGCTCAAGAGGTAAAGTTCTTCTATTATTTGAAAACAAAGTGACTGTCATTTCTTGGTTCTTAGTGAAGAAGTTTTTTTTTTTCTTCTTAAGCCAGAGAAAAATCTAAGCCCTTTGCCTAGATAGTGTCAGGCCAGATAACTCAGTGTGTTGTTGTTCCTAACAGGTAAGTTGGACAGCCTTTTAGAGTGCTCAGACTCTACATGCCTTGTCCATGGAAGTTCTCTGTTGAATGGCAGACATAAAACAGATGTTCCCCTGACCCCTTCAAGCTAATTGCTGAGCCTTAGATGCAGAAAAAGTTCTAATGCAAAAAAAGAAAAGAAAAGAAACAACAACAACAACAAAAAAACAAAATAAAAAACAAAAGAAAAACCAAAAACCAAAACCAAAACCAAAACCAAAACCAAAACCAAACAAAAAAACCTCATTTACAACTTGGAGTTCTTTTTTGATCAGAACAAATTGGGTTTTACAAACTTTGTTCTCATACATAGGGAATTATGACAGAATTCTATCTAAAGGATAAAAAGAGGGATGTTTTGTTAGCATTCTAATTATACTTAAAAGTGCATTTGTGAGCACACACACAAAAATGGAATCAGGGCTCATACTGTGTTTTGAATGTTTAAACAGAAAAAAAAGCCATTTCCTCAAGTCACTGAATCAAGAGCTCAGGGTGACTATTAATAAAAATTAGCACGAAACTTTTCAGTGAGAGAAAGTGTGTTATTTTTTAGGCTGCAGATACACTGTTAAGTTAAAAACAATGGACCAACAAGAACAGCCAATGCAGGGGCTGTGGCACACATGAACTTCACAGTCAGCCAACTTTATTGGGAATTATCATAACTGTTGCAAACAGACTAGCCCCAAGGTAATAGTAATTTTGTTTGTAATATGCTTCGAACTTAAACTAGGATTGCTCCTCTCACTTTTCCCTGATTCAGAGTCAGTATCATATTCCTCACAGCTGGAGACTCTGGAGAGCGGCAGCTTTGGCTGGAGTCACACACGCAAAAGGTGGTAAAACCGGCTGCAAAGATTCCTCATTCTTCTTGGCCCTTGGTTTTGATTGCTTAATAACTCTCCCAATGGAAAATGAACTTTTGTTTAGTAATATTATTTAGTACAGACACAGCCTTTAAAGAATGAGATATTCAGCAGTGTGGGGCCTTGAGATACATCCTGGCTCACAAGAAACTGAAAGCTACTTTGCCCTCCATAGCTCTTCATGATTTCGGTCTTATTTTCCTTGACAGAAGAAATCCCATACAAATTTATTCGCTCTTTGGCTAGATGCCGTTTTCTACTCTTAAGAACCTTATAAACATGCTATGATACTGAATGATTTTATCTCATTTTTTTTAACTTTTTGTACTTTTATGGTACTCTGTCTAAATGCAATGAAAGACTGCTCATTGGGATTCCCTGCATCTCGGCACTTGGACTGGTCCCTTAGCTATTTCCAAATATCTACTTGTCCATAATATTTCTCTTCTTTTTCTAACTTAAAGACCTCCCTTTCCAAGGAAAATAAACAGCAAGAAGAAATCTTTGTTAAAATATTCTCAATTTTTTGAGCATTCTGCTCTTTTCCACAAAACTTGAGAAAAACACTCCTTTTCTTCAAATGCTTATCTCTTTGTTTGCCCTTATAGGTTATGCTTGTATTTTCTTTCTCTTACCAATACATTCCTAAACTCTTTTCCTTGAAGAAATTTTTTGCCTGACTAGTTAAAACCACCTTCTTTAAAGCAGTTCTGGTTTGTCTAGGATTTCAAAGATATATTATGCTAGAGGGTCAGAACATACCATTAATTCCATTTGTCCATGTTATTTCACTCCATATCGTATTTTTGTAAAACTCCAGTACTCCACAGAGTGTCACTTTATTTCAGAAATGCATTTCTATTGTGGGCACCATCGTGTGTAATCAAATTACAGTCAATGATGGAGCCTCTGGCAGGAAATGCATTATCATCTTCAACCTATAAAATTTACTGGGTAGTTAGTTACAAGCTACCTGCTATTGGCTAGCGGATTGAATTTGATAGATGGAATATTTCTGAGTATGGAACAAATCTTAAAAATGATGTTTAAGGATAAAATAATGAAATATTTTTCAGAGTTTAACATCATAAATAAAAATACTAAAACTCATGAATCTTAAGAAGTGACCAGAATTTTGCCTACTGAAAACTAGTCTCTCTCTAACTGTAATGAAGTCCCAGAAGGCAAATTTCAACAAGGCTGGGAAGAGTGTAGTTGAGAAAATATGATACTTCGATCAATGCACAAAGGTAGGTAGGAAGAAGGACTCAAAGACTGCAGTTTAGGAGTTCTTTTTAAATGACACACAAAATGGAATAGTAACGAACTTGTTCAGCTGTATTTAGAAACAAAATGAGAAAAGGGCATAGCTATATATTCGACTTCTGCACTCTTACTCACCAGAAATAGGATTGCATTTGTTGTTTACAGGAGAGAAAGACCCTTCTCTGGCTTGATTTGGCCTTTGATTTCCTAATTGTGCCATGGAACTTTTGTTCAGGTACTGACATTTTCCTAAACCCAATGTGGTGCCATAAGCCAGTGCCTGCTGCAGGGGAGGACAGGGGTTAGTTAGGGAGCTTCCATCAAGGGCTGTGTTCACCCATGAATTTCATTATTTGAAGGGTGCTTTTCAAAATCACATTGGATTTCCCGTGATTGTTTCTTGTTTTGTTTTGTTTTTCCTACAGAGTATTTGGGATGTTTACCCACACAGAAGACAGAGAGACTGTATATGCCTGGTTTACATTTTCACACTGGCTTGTATATGCCAATAGTGCTGCGAACCCAATTATTTATAATTTTCTCAGTGGTGAGTTTTCAACTGTTCCTTCCATGTAAACCCCAATCCTTGCCAGGGGCGAGGGATCAGTGACCACAAGGTTTTGAACACTCTTGAAATGTGCGAAGAGCTTAATTGCTATACGATGAGATTTTTTTCCCCTGGATCTAATTCGTCTTGAGGTTTTGCCCTGATGAGAGGGATCACATGGTACCTAACTCATCAGAGAAAACCATCTAAGTCATTTTCCCATAAAATTTAAAAAGAAATGTTGAGTAGGAGGAAAGTGAAAATTGTGAGAACTGAAGAACACAGAATCCTGCTTGTCATACATTAAACTTATGATTTACCAACATGTAAAATAATTTTATCTGAAAATAAAACAGACTTGCTGTATTATTTCCTTTGCCAACACTGAGATTGCCTCATTGAGATTGAATTGGAACCCACTTTTGGGTATTTTTCTGTATTTACATTTCTCTTGTGAGTAACATCTCTTGGGGTTATCTCAAGATTTCTCACTGACCACAAAAAATGATACTACTTCTAAATATCGCACAAGCTAAATGACACACAAGGACCCACATCTGTAACAGATTTAATCTTTCTCGGTTTATGGAACCAATGTAAATGTAAAAATCATTTAACTAGTTGTTTTATTTACAAACATTTTGCCTGATTGACCTTTAGAATTGTGTTTTAATTAGCTGCATCTTTACACTGTCTTCTCCTCTAACTGGTTGGCTATTTCTGTTTCATTGCTATCTCCAAATATATGATAATTTTATATGGAAGAATAAGCAGTTCATTTTACTGCATACTTAATAAAGTATGTGTATTTTCCAACTTCATCTTTGGCCTTGTAGGTTGTATGGGTTATTTAAAAAAAAAGAAAAAAAGACAAATGACCAGTCAACTTCCATTGTTTTTTTTCTCAATCATGGTATATACCATATATATATATATATATATATATATATAAAAGCAGGTATATATATATATATACCTGCTTTATTTCACCTTTCAGGTGGTGTATATGTGGGGTTTTCTTGCCTTCCCCCACCACATCCAACCCCGTCTCCAGGTTAAAGATGGCATTAGATCGGAGATCACCGGATACCACTCACTGCTCATGTGATGTGTTTGAGGGGTCAAGGGACCATGTGGAGCTGTGGCTTGGAAAGCAATGAGGAGACCATTGCCTTGGGGTTAGAGATGACTAAAGCCCTCAGGCTTGCACTAAGCAGATCAAACCTCCTAGAAGGTTATAGGGAGAAGTGTTTGAAGTCAAGGCCACAGGACCAAGTCAAAGTGCTATTGTGGGGTGGAGTGAGGCAGGGAAGGTGGTTGATAACCTGTGGAGACTTGGGATGTGCCAGCGATTGTCAGAGGCCCTTGAACATTCACTTCTCATGTAATCACTCAATCACCCACTTTGGTAATGGAGGCTCAGAGAAGAGAAATGATGATTCCCAATCCTGTTCATTTATCCTTAAAAAGGTGACTGTTTCATTTTTCATACTTCTCCAATTTCACGTCAGTGATTTAAGGGCAAGTAATAACTTCTAAAGTGGGTAATTTTTCCTTCCATTTTTTGTTCTGCCTCATGCAGAACATTTAGAAATTTTCTATATATTTTAAGATGTTTTTTCTAGATACTCTGTTGAACTGAGCATGCCAGTAGACCAGTTTCTTCAGAGTCCAGTGCAGGGATAATTTCTGTACAGTCATGGCTATATACAATACAGGCTTCATCATTTTTGAAATTATTAAATATCTCTGGACAGCCTACTAATGATCATTTTCATTACAGCTGTCTATAAAAATCCACAATCACAAATATAGAAGGTTTGACTCTAAAGGAATGAAACAAATTCCAAACATCACACATGAAAAGCAGTTAACATTATTTTATGGAAATACCTTATTGTTTCAAGAGTCTACCAAGCTTCCAGTAACACAATTTCCTCTTCCTATTTCCTCCTTTTTGCAAAATGTTTCACCTCATTGTTAGTTTGGCTCAAGGGAGCAACTGGGTTATACCCTATAAATGATTTGTTGAACCCTATTTATGTGTAATTCTTTCTCCTTTCATTCTCCCTGGTTTGCCAGGAAAGTTTCGAGAGGAATTTAAAGCTGCATTTTCTTGCTGTTGCCTTGGAGTTCACCATCGCCAGGAGGACCGGCTTACCCGGGGCCGAACGAGCACAGAGAGCCGGAAGTCTCTGACCACCCAGATCAGCAACTTTGACAACATATCAAAACTTTCAGAGCAAGTTGTGCTCACCAGCATAAGCACACTCCCAGCAGCCAATGGAGCAGGGCCACTTCAAAGCTGGTAGAAATTTCATTCATATGACAGGGATATCTGAGTAAAACTATTCTTTTTTAAAAATCTCTGTACACACAAACTTTATTATCCTAATGATCTGAAGCTAAAATTACTTTGTGGACTTTCTTTCTTTCTTTCTTTTCTTTTCTTTTCTTTTTTCGTCTTTCTTTCTTTTTACTCTATTGCTCTTTGGAAATAAAAAAAGTCAGTTTAAAATAATTTCTCAACTTTTGATTTAAACAAAATTTTAGAAGTTTGACTTTCAACTGAATTTATTTTAGGCTATTTCACCTTTAGCTTCATGTATTATGATTTGTGTCAATTAAATGTTTGAATATTTTTAATTCTAATTGTTATTTTACTCTCTCACCTTCAGATTGGTTGCAAAAAATTACCAAGAGTTATCCAATGACTTTCTTTTGTCTACTAAAAGAAGTAGCAATTACTAACTCAATTAACAACAGACATGTTAGTTAACTTCATAGTTTTAAAAAAAATCACAAAGGACTGTCATGATGTGACATCTGAAAGAATATTTATATACAAAATAACATATTAGATAACTCAAAAGCTATCTTTCAAAACTATTTAAAAATATATACAATTAAACTTTAATTTCCATTCATTTAACACAATTTTCTCAGGTTTGTAACCTTACTGTTGCTCACATTTCTCATCTCAACATATGGCCAATAAGACTGTATTAACATAACAATCTTGGAGTAACTACAAATACATAACAATCTCCATCTCTAAGAAAAGACTTCAACATTTGAGAATAAGGCAGGATTCTTTTAACCAATAAAAATGATGTAGTTGGCCTTGCTGGATTACATTAAGAATGAAATTTACAAAGAAAAGGAGTAGTGGACTACTAAATCACAGCTGGGTCCCATATGGGACAGTTACTACTGCCATGGTGATGTGATGTAAATATTTGCATTTATTTGAATTTCATAAATATTTATCAAATACAAGCACCCACTGTGCTAGGTGCTGGAGAACAAGGTAGGGGCAGATGTACACGTGCCTTCAAAAGAGCTCTAGATGACTGAGGGAGACATGTCGATAGAGTTTACAGGACAGCAAACCACTCTAGGGGACAGATTCAAATGTGGGTGGAGCAGTGAAGCAACCAACACGGGACACGAACAGAAAAAGTTTTGTTTCTGATTCATTACAGTGACATGGCTGATATCAGCAAATTCCACGTAGGCTTGCAGGTGGTTAGGAGGGAAGTGCTGGCTCCTAACTCACATACAAAGGAGTAGCCACCTGGTGTACTTTGTACAAATGTGAGAGCTGCAATCCAAAGCCCTGAATATTTCAAACTTGTCTCCCTGCAAAATGCTTCTAACTCAAATATTTACTTGAAAATTGAATTCAAAGTAAGAGATGTTCATGAAAGTTGCTCTTCTTGCATGACAGCAGCAGGTATCCTTATTTTTATTGAAACAAAAGATGTGCAGAATAATATTTAAGAAAAATTTTTATAGATGATAAAAACTATCTCATTCATTTCTTGCTATTTTCCAACCCGTCACTTTCTGAAAGAAGACACAAGCAAATTGTCCACAAGTTGTTTTCCTATTTTAGAACGTGGGGCTACCTTGTGCTTTTTTCCTACTCAAAGCAAAAAATGACCCTACCAGACAAGGTTTATTGAAGTGATATTGCTAATTATCAGAAAGATAACATCAAAAGCAAAGCATTATAACTCTCTCCTCCCTTCCCTTTGTACATTTGAGAACTTTCTTGTTTATGCTGCATGAAAGGAATGTTGTAATATTCAGATTGTGATGGGAGCTAGGATTTTAAATAGTTTGAGGATTCTTCAAGTAATATTGATAATATGCCTTAATGCCTAAGTAGTATCTCAGACTAAAAGCTAAATTATACAGACTGTAATATATCTAGTTCTTTATTATTTAAGAAGGAGAGAGATTGAGAGAGGGAGAGCAAGAGAGAGGGAGAGAGAAGGAAAGAGAGAAAGAGAGAGGCTCAGAGAGGCAGCCATTGTACGATTGCCTGTTAAGGACAGACTCAGAAGTCAAGATGCCTTTGCTCTAAATCAGTGATTCTTAAAATGTGGTTTCTGAACCATCACATCAGCCTCACCTAAGAACTTATTAGACATGCAAATTTCCACCCTATCTCAGATCTGCTGCATCAGAAACTTTGGGGGTGGCACCCAGGACTCTGTGTGTTAACAAATCCTACAGGTTATCCTGAAGCACCTAAAAATTTGAGAACCCCTGCTCCAAATATACCACCTGGCACCTGCTAATTAGCCCATGCAAAATTAAGTATTTCACTGCACAGGTATCTACAACAGGGACCATCGTCACCACTCCTGTCAACCTGGTTGGAGGTCTGAAAGAAGAGGCTGAGTATCAATGTTGAACGTCACTCAGTGTCATCTCATTCAAAGAGATAGTGGTTTATGAACCAATTGCCCTACATGACCAGTGCAGTATGAAAGAAGACTGGTTTGAAAGCACTTGTGTACTTTATGGATACCTGGATGACTTGAGTTTCTAACTAAAACTTTTAAATCTCCAATTTTACTTACACTAACTAAAGGCTAAGTCTTGTGGAAGCAGACAGTTTCTAAGAATGATCATTGCCTGGAAGGAAAACAAACACTAGTACCTACAGGAAACTGTGGCAACGGAAGAGCAGACTCTATGCATTGCTTTCAACATGTTGATTCTGGAACCCTTCTAAGAGGTCTGGATGGAGTATGGTTACCTTACTAGGACAAGTGGTCAAGAAAGAGTTTTTTCCAAAACCTGCCAATCTTACGGAACAAAGGGTCAACCGCACGTCTCATTATGTGCTAATAACACAAATGAGAGACTTCTTATGGAAAGAATGTGTTGCAACTCTTTTATGCTCTACATAGAATACGCATCTCTCTGTTTTGCCATATTTCAAAGATTTAATGTAAAATGTCACTAGTGTTGCTGAAATTTTGTTATCAATAAGGATGAGATCATTTTAGCGAATAGAGAATCCATTTGAACTTCATTATTTCTGAATTTCTCCAAACCCATGGACACTTTGATATTCGAATTCATTCATTCTTGGCAAAAGAGGACTCCTAGTTTCTGAGGAAAATGACTTAAAGGTTCCAAGGCTTAGAGTGTTTCCTGGATATCAAATAACTGTTACAAATCATTGATGAGTTAATTGCAAAAGTGTTAGGCATAGTGATACTGAATTTCACTCCCAGTGTGCATTGTTTTATTAAAGATAGAGATAAATATGCTTGTAAAATGTGGTCTGAATATACATAAACCTGAAATATCAGAATGACAAACACCCAAACATGCTTATGGACACAAGTTGTGAGGAGAGCTATTATTGTTTTAATATCAGTATAACAATAATACAATTTCTCACATCTGATATAATAGTAATCAACTGCATTTCAAAAAAAGTCTGGTTAGTCATTACAACTTAGAAAGTTTTTCAATTCCAATTAATTTTACAACAGACGATTTTCTACTTTCTACAAGTTACAAGTCAAAAAAAGTAAATTCCATTAGGTTATGTACAATTAGTTTTCAAATAGCATGAAGCAAAATAATTGATTTTTTAGAGATAATATGTAAACAAAAAATAGTGTCAATTTAAGTCTATTCTACTACTTTATGTACCTCAGAAAATGAAGAGCAAAGGCATGGAAAACAGTGTTATCTCCCCAAATTCAAAGAGGATTGTTTTCTAGAATACTGCTGCAATTAAAGAGGGAGCAAAACACTCCCTCCCATTTGCCACGTATTTCTATTGTCTTAAATTTTCTTTAAAAGCTTTGGGGTTAGAATATCTTTTAAGTTTTTTTCTTCCAAAATGTATTTCTATAATTGTTGTATCCCATGTATGTAACATCATGTCACTTGTTTAACAGTTATCTTATACATTTAAAGTTCTTTATGCTTAATTTCCTGTGTGTTCATGAAGAAATTTCTTATCAAATCCAATGGGATTACACACCAACTACTGTGAAGGACGCTCGTTATGTACTTTTTAAGTAAAAACCGTATTGAGAATTCTATAATCACGTTAACACTGCCCTCTCTATTGTATGAAAAATCCTGTTGTTGTTGATTAGAGACGTTGGATATTCACTCATAACTAGTGTCAAATCTTTGCAGGTAAGGATTAAATTAAGCCCTCTGGTGTGGTACTTAATGATCAAAATATTTTTTCCCAATAAGTTTATATAACCAGGGTTAATCATGATATAAAATGTTTTTAATGTTGTTTTTAAGAGCAGGTACTAAACTAAGGATGGTTAAGATTAACACAGAAATATTTCATAAAAATTATGTTAAACCACTGATACACATCATTAAATTTTGGAACTTTTATCAGAGTCAAGAGATTGTATCTTATTTGGATTTAGAGAAAATGATGACCTTGTGATTTTCAAGTTATTATTAGACAAGTAACTATGGTATTTCCATAATTAAGCAATTTTTTTCTTGGTCATTGTATATAAAACTTTTAGGGCTCTTTTTAATTAGTGATAAATTTTAAAATGTATATTTTCTGCCTTTCATTTCCTAAATGATTCTGATAGATGACAGAATCAACTGTCAAGGATTTTTATTTAAAAGTCCATTTTTATTCACTGCTGTTTATTCTAACTTGTATCAAAAATGGAGCCAAAGTGACTGGGCAAGGTAAATACTTGACTCCACCTAGAGAAATGTGATTTGATTATGGGATGGTTTCTAAAGACAGAGAAGAAACTCTCAGAGTGAAATCCCAAGACTAGCTATTTCGTGGGTGAAGGTGTTTTGCTTTGAGTAATCCATCATCACAGACTAGGTCTTTGGCCCCTTCTGCTCCCGGAGTCAGCCCTGAAGAGAGGTAACTCATCCCTGCTTTCATCTAGGCCAGTTGCCATGAATGGGAAATGGTAACAAGGAAAGTTTCTTGAAGAAGCTCTTTGGCCTTGCCCTGCTTTTACTACTTCCTCACTCTCCAGCTGTAGTCCTT